TCTGGCTTGGAAAATTTGCCTCAGGTCAGATTTTGATTCCTTGCTTATAAGCTCAAAACCAAATTCAACAGAGGGGTGTTTGAACCCAAGGAAAGGGCCTCTTGGCAATTAAATGCACAAGAGACTAGTGGACCAACTCAAGCAGGAGTTGATTAATTTGTAAAGTAGAGAGGGAGCCTCTCTCCTAGACATCCAGGTGCTGGTCACCCCCTCTCCCGTGCCAGTGTCCTTGGGAAGCTGAAAAAGGTACTGGGAGGCTGTGCGTGGGCTTGGACTCACCATTGGCAGGTGGAGGGGTTTCTAGGAGCACGCCTGGGGCTGGCTTCCCTGTGCCTGGTCTTCAACTGACATCAGCTCTTCAGAGGCTAGAATTCCCCTTTACACTGGCCTCTGTGTTCTCCTACACTGAGCACTCAGATATTGTCCCCAACTTCCATCATGACTCTGCATTTCCTAAGCTCCCACGTGCTGAATGCCCGCCCCCCCCCATCCTGCCCCCGCCCACAACTCGGTCCTTCTTTGACAGAAGACCACATGGCAGCCACAGTCAAATCACCCTCGCTGGTCCAAGACCCAGCCTAAGCTCGTGTTTACTGCAAACTCCCAGTGGTTCTCAATCCTCTTGTCCTCTCCCACAGCCAGTGCCCTAATCTTGACATTCTGAGTTCTAGAAATTTCTATCAAATTAGACTCTTGGCATCCAAAACTTACTCTGGCTATGAGTTCACCAATCCTCCTAATGCACTTTCATCTCTAAATAGGAAATGCTTGGCTGTGTTTCCTAAAGGTCTTGTAGTGTGTGGTTCTCAGGTGATGCCAGCCCATGAAGGCATACTCTCATGAAAAGCGCTCTTCGTAATTTATAAGTGACGGCAACAATGACGCATGCTAGTGACTCTATAAGAATTATCAGTTTTTTAAAAAATATTTTATGATGTGACTATTTTAAAAATCTTTACTGAATTTGTTACAATATCACTTCTGTTGTATGTTTTGGTTTTTTGGCCCTGAGTCATGTGGGGTCTTAGCTCCCCAACCAGGAGATCAAACTTTCAACCCCTGCACTGGAAAACGAAGTCTTAACCACTGAACCACCAGGGTAGTCCCAAGAATTATCAGTTTTTAAACTTTATCTTTGGGAAATCATTCTTTGGACTTAAGGGTTGAAAAGCAGCATTCAGTCTGTCACAAGGTCAGGTTGGACCTTATGCCTTTCAGTATGTGTTTTCAACCACAGGCTTGTTTTATAATTTTGTAAGTAGTGGATCACAGTACAAAACTGAAAATTGTTTTTACAACAAATATGATAAATGTAAGATATTTGTATTTTTATGAATAAGTCTCCAGATTTGCTGGAATGGTGTGTGGTCACATGGGTGGAGCCAGTTTGAGACACTTTTCATGAACAGATTGCCATGTAAATCAATATGTAAGAATATGTTTTAAGGGATTATCAAGTCCTCTCTGTGGTAGAGACCCCGGTGCACACCGAGGATTCTACTAGTGGTCCTGTTATCTCTCACTTGCTTCCTGTGTAGCAGCATCATTGACCAGGACTGGCTAGCACACAGTAGGTCAAATGACTTGTGTGTCTCCTTCGTACTGAACGTAGAAGAGGGTGTGAGTCTTCACTGCTTCTTTCTCTCACCTACTGACCGTCACGGCCTCGTGCTGTGATGACAGACCTAAGGCTGAAGGTTGGAGCAGCCTGAATCTCTGAGTCACTGCATGGCAATCTATGGTCTTGGGGAGTTACCCAGATCCTCCATGAAATTTGTGTAAATGATAAACACACCTTTGTTGTGTGAAACCTCTGAGATCTGGGGGCTGTTTTACTACAGCAGAACTTGTCTAGTTGGCGAATATATTCTGGAAGAGCGTTCTGAAAGATCTGTGACCATGACTCCAATAAGAAATGTATTACACGTTGTGAGCCAATACACCCAGACATGTACACACACACATTTCTGGAAAAAAAAAAGGGAAACAATTGTTATCATTAATATGCATGATTTCTTGTTATGCTATCCTATTCTACTCCAAAATGCTGGTTTTAACTTCCTAAATTTATATGACAACTGCCAATAGGTTATGACCTGAGTCTGAAAAATGCTGCTGTAGATCATAATTTGTGTATGATTTATTTGCTAATTCTAAATCTCTCATGCATATTTATGAAAGCAAGCTTTTTAGCTCTTCCTCTGGCAACTTTTAATTTTCTCTCCCAGAATGGATGGAAGTGTTTTTATGTAATACATATCACATCCCACATAATTTCTGGAAGTTAATGTTTTATTGTTGAATCTCCTAATTTACATCATGTATTTTCAAATTTACTTGTAAAATGTTGTCACAGGGAATAACAATGTTAATGTGATTATTATTCACTTATTTTCTTTTTTTAAAAATGAATGTCTATAAATAACTATCTCTTGCATTAGAATCAGGATATCACAAAAACCTCACTAGCTGAACATATTTTAGTGTTAATACTGGTGCAAAAAATGAAATAGAGACCAGATATTTTTAAATAGCACTATATATATTTTATGTACTGTATACTTATATCAAAACTTGCTATTTCTATTAAGAAGCTGATAAGTTACACTCTAATTTCATAAATTAGACTACAACTATGAAAATATGGACAACTATTTTGTATCTGTGCTGCTATATAAGATACTTAAAGTTTATACAGAACGGTGCAAAATTACAGAGATGAAGTAATGACAACTCATGAACATTTCACCTGAATTTCCACTGGCCTTTTTCTTCAGCCAGAATCATTTTGATATCCTCTGAATACGCTTTTAGAAATGAATGTGGTATCTATTTCTTCAGTAAATACACATACACACATTTTAGGTATATGTATGTATATACAGTTATACAAGTGTATATAAAGATATATACACATATATACACACGTGTATTAGTCTACATGTGTATATATATTTCTGCATGCACTTAAACACACATGCACACTTAATGTCTTTTGGTTTATTTTCAGACTGTTAATGAAAAATGAAATTTTGATGATTTCCATTTATTTTTGCTTTAAGTCTAAACTGGTTTAAAAAGGCCTTTGCAACATGTAATAAATTCCTTTTAAAAATCATAAATATATGGCATCATAAAGCATTCTATAGAGAAGATCATATGGAGTTAAAGAAGGTAGAAATCCATGCCAACATGGGAGAAAAGAGAAAGAACATGGGTTTTCCAGGCTTTTCTGCCTTTAAGGAAGGGCCCTCTGGCTCTGTGTTGCCAACTTAGAGGCGAGGAACTCCAGGCTGCTCCCACGGGAAGGGAGAAATGTAGCCAGAAGGGGTGGATCAGTTCTTGGGAATCAAATCAAACCAGCACATCAGTTTTGGGGGGTCGGGTGGGCACTGGTGAGCTGTTCCTTGGGTAGGAGAACAAAGTGACAGCCTCTCGGAACACCTTTCTACTTGGTGATGAGATGCTGTCTCTGGGGGTGATGGGGGAAGGGGGCATGTCAGCTTTGGGTTGCAGGTTAAAGCCCCTCCCGGACTGCTTGGCTGCCACAACTGTAGCCGACTGTAGTGCTTTCTGTGCGAAGGGCTCCTGCCTCCTTTGGGTCTCAAGTTACAGGGAGACAAGCTGGCTTTTCCCCCTTGAGTGGGAAGGGCTCCATACAAATGGGGATTCCGGTGAAGTGGCTGCCCACCTCTCCAAACCTGACCCTTCACCCTCACACACCTCATCCAGAAGAGAGGCCATTTCCCCAACTCATCAACTGCAGAAGCTGCTTTCCTCCAATCGTGTATGGAAAGCTCTCGAAATGCTCACCTTCTCTCCCCTCCATCAGATTAAGCAGCCCCAGAGCAGCGTCGGAAAGGAACATCCCTGTGCTAAGAACTACTAAGCTACTCTTTCCTAGATGTGTCTCCATCCTGCCTTCCTTTTTTTTTCCTTTGCGTAACTATGGGAGGAGCCCCAGAAAAATGGGGTTGGAGAAAGGCCAGGCACACGAAGAGTGACAGGGGCATCTCCCAGAGTTTACCATAACTCAGAGCAGCGGCTGATGAAAAGGCAGCCAGGCCACTGAGATCTTACACCTATTACCTGGCGAGCCAGACCAGCTACAACGCTGACCATGGTGGTAAGATTTCCTGCGTTCATGCTTTTGGACTCTCTCCTACCCATCTGGTAACTAGGGGACCTTTCAATTAGTGCCACCTTCATTTACATCCCTGGAAAAGCTTCCTAAAAGTCAACACATCTTTCCCCAAAGGATTTACAGCGTCTGGGCTTGAAGAGACTCAGAGCTCACCTCTGTCATAAACCTGGCTCCTCCTTTTGCATAACGGGTCCTCCCTTGAGATCGTGAATAAACGTCCTTGGAGTCCCCAGGCCTGACTTATTTAAATGTATTCTCTTAAGAGAATGCATAGCTCTTTTATGAAATTCATAGCTCTTCTATGAAAGAAATGGAGGGGTTGGCATGATATCACCTATCTGAAGGACAGAAATGAAGAGCTTGGAGTCACAAATAGGACAGAGGTGTGGGTGGGAGCACTGTATTTGGGGCACAGAATTGAAAACGTTGCTTCCATGGGAGTGAAAAGAATCACTGACAGTGAGCGAAGCTTCAGATCTAGACGTGGGCGTGGCTGGTGTGGGGGGAGGGTCACTGCTACGCTCCTGGAGGGGGCGGCGGGGATGGGGGAGGGGGCCAGGCACTAGTCGTTGCCCAGGATGCTCTTCAGGCTTCCCTTCATGGCCTCGCCCAGCTCTTCCTCCAGCTCCTCCTTCTTGGACATGGCCAGCTTGGACTGGTGACCCCGCATCACCTGGTCAATGTAGGGGGCACTCTGTGCACCATACAGCATCAGCGCCCACTCCTTCAGCACCCCCTTCTGGGGCGTGCTCCCCACGAAGCCCAGCTCCAGGGCCCAGGTGCCCTGGGCGTCCTCCCCCCAAGTGTGGGTGGTCATGAAAGGCCACTTGTCAAAGCCCACCTTGGCGTCATAGTCTCAGGTGCAGTGGCTCAGCAGGATGGACTTGGTGCCCATGGGGGACGTCATGTTGATGTCCAGATCCCCTCTCCTGGTCACGTTGACGGTGACGACCACTTGGACGTGCTCCAGGTAGGGGACAAAGTTTTCCTTCCCCTCACATGCGTCAGTTGTGAATGTCAGCACCAGCTTGCCAGTGGTCGGAATTTTCCTGAGGGCAGAGTAGCGAGCAGACACAGTGAGGGGTGGGGACACTATCCCAGGGCTTTTTGTTTTTTGTAATTTTTGGCTGCATCCATGGGCATGTGGGACCTTAGTTCCCCCACCAAAGATAGAACTCATGCCCCCTACATTGGAAGTCAGAGTCTTGATCACAGGACTGCTGGGGGAATCCTATCCCAGTTGTTTTGAAGGCCACTCTGGGGAGTGGGGAGAGCACGGACTCTGGGTTTTATTATTATACCAGCTGTGTGACCCTGAGCAAGTCACCTGCCGTCTCTGATCTGTTTGGATGGGGGATGCAGCCAATACAGTTGACCCCCTTCCCACTTCTCCTAGGTCTCTGCTGGGTTCTCTTGCACCTGAGGCCCCTGTGGACCCTGATGGCAGAATGTCAGGAATTTGATCTGGAAGGAAAAACCCTAACCAATGATTGACAGGAGGAGCTGAGTCAATACAGCCTGCGTTCCTCACTGCTGGTGGGGACAACTCAGTGTCCCTGGTGGGTTTGAGCCTAGTTGCCCAGAGCAGTGAGGTGACAGTCAGCGAATCCTCTGTGTCTTCTCTATTGGGTTGCTCTCTCTCCGTCTACATTGCCTCCTCCTCACCTGTGCCTCCTGAGATCATCTTTCAGGAAAAAAAAACTGTCAGCACCCAAGTCCCACTAGGGCAACTGAGAGTGGGACGGGAGCTCAGATGTCTTTCTTTTACAGCACTCACTACTTTGATAAAGAGAAATTATTGCTGAAATGATTGCTATGACTATCATAACAATATGACTGCAGCTCAGAAGTGACTGGTCATGGCCACACCTGACCGGTATGAGGTTGAGCACACTCTCCCCTCTCTACTGAGATTCTGCTTTCAGCTCAAGTGTTAACATTGATTTCCAAATTCACTTAAAATTCAGAGCTTGCCACAGCCTCAGTGGCTTCCCTGGTGGTCCAGATGATAAAGAATCTGCCTGCAATGCGGGAGACCTGGGTTCGATCCCTGGGTGGGGAAGACCCTTTGGAACAGAGAATGGCAACCCACTCCAGTAGTCTTGCCTGGAGAATCCCCATGGACAGAGGAACCTGGCAGGCTACAGTCCATGGGGTTGCAAGAGTCCGACACGACTGAGCAACTAACACTTTGCTCAAGGAGCTGAGTGGGCAGGCGAGGGTGGGGGCTGAGCCGGACAGGGCTCTCTGTGAAACACTGGCGGCGGGGTGGGCCAGGCTGCCTCCGCTCACTGACTTGTGTGGTCCAGCGCAGATGCCTCACAGCCAGTTCTATTCTTCCCTTTTATTTTAGTCAAGCACCCTTCACAGACTTTCCTGATAAAGTCTCTTTAGAGAATTGGTTTTTGAGCTGCCTGCTTCTCTGGGAAGATGAGCACTGAGGAGACTCATAAACCTGACAGTCGCCACTCAGTGGCTCCCAGCCCGTTTCTGTGCAGCCTAGCATAGACTTGGCCTCTTCCAGGGGGCCATGGAGCCCTGTGGCCTGCCCGCGAGAAGCTGGATTCCTAGCAGTAAGGGCTGCTTCTGCCAGAGGCCAAGCCGGCCTGGGCGCTGCCCTTGCAGCCTCCCTGCCCAGCCTCTGAGTTCTTCCAGCATGGCATCTGCCCCAGACCTTGCTCATCAGCACCTGAGATCAAGTTCAGGTGAGCGGTGGGCAAGGGGGCAGAGGGCACCCAGGAGACCAGAGCCCTTCCAACAAGGCCTGACCTCCCCCACCCCAAATTTCCCTGACTGGTCTGACCACCCTATCACCTGTCGCCACTGTTTAGATGTCTTCCTTGTGCCCAGGTGAAACTGGCTGAATAGTCATTCATTCATTCATTCATTCATTCCACAAATATTGATCCCATAACTGCTAAGCTCTAGCCCCGAGGACACACCAGCAGATGGGACAGGCTAGGTTCCTGTCCTCGGGGAGCCCAGCTGAGTTAGTTCTGAAAGTGCTCTCCAGGGAGGGGCTATATACGTATAGTTATGACGGCCTCGGGGCTTCCCCGCTGGCTCAGATGGTCAAGAACCTACCTGAAATGCAGGAAATGTGGGTTTGATCCCTTGGTGAAGGGAATGGCAACCCACTCTAGTGTTCTTGCCTGGAGAATTCCATGGACAGAGGAGCCTGGCAGGCTACAGTCCATGGGATCTCAAAGAGTCAGACTCGACTGAGTGACTAACACTTTCACTTTTCATGACTGACTTGCCTTGTTGTACAGCAGAAACCTACATGATGTTGTACAGGATATATTCTCCAATTAAATAAATTTTTTAAAAAAGAGCTCTCATCTTTCCTTTCATTAAAATAATGCTTCTGAGACCACCCACAAAATTTAGTCTTCTGGATCTTATCCAAAATCTCATAAATCAGAACCTTTGAGGAGTGGGGCCTTGAGAACACAAACTGACACTTTCTTTTTCTATTATTTGGTCACACTGTGTGGCTTGTGGGATCTCAGTTCCCCTGCCAGGGATCAAAACTGGGTTCCCTGCAGTGGAAGCACCAAGTTCTAACCACTGGATCACCAGAGAAATCCCTTTTTTTTTTTTCTTAAGAAATGCCTATATATTTTAAAGTTTAACATTGCTGTCATAGTATATGTGTACATGTGTATTGTTCTGAGAATAAAACTGTTGCAACAGAAGATCATTTGGGAAATGTAAATTCTCGATGAATTTGTGTAAAACCCTGTAAGAAACATATAAACCAAAACATCTATATATATAGTGAAATGAATTTAACCTGATCAACTGAAACATAATAAAAGACTTTTCCAGATTAAAAAAAAATAATAATGCTGCAAACACTGGATAAGCTCCCAGCTTGTTGTGAGCCACTGCGATGGCCATATTTCAGGGCCTCGGATTCATTAACTAACATGAGGGCATCAGACGACTTATTTCCAGTGTTGTTGCCTTTGGCTCCAAATTCCAGCAAGTATCTGGATTAGCACAGAGTGCTCAGTGCACTTGGAACTGGGAGGGAAATGGTCATTCATCCCAGCATACGTTCTCCATCTCCCTCCCCCCTCCCTCCACAAGCACAGAGCATGAGGATCAACAGAAACCCAGTCTTCCTGTCCAGGGCCATTGCAGAGAACAAGGTCTGATGTCAGCACAAACCATGACTAAGCAGAGTCCCAGTGCTCCTTCTCCTCAATACTGCAGTTGTACCACCTTTCTGCTAATTGGGAACGTAAGCCAAGACGCAGCTAACTACATCCTGCCCTTGTCACACTGCCCATGGCCCCCACCTGCTGTGGCCCAGAGCCTGCAAAGGCACAGCTGTAGGGCTTCCCCTAGCAAAGTTCCTCTTTGTAAATCTCTCCCTCTTGTCAATAAGGGATGGAAGTTCCAGGCCCCAGGGCTCCGGATACTGGATACTCTGCAACTGCCTAATGCTACAGCTCTGCCTGGAAGCTGGTTATCCCCGAATCAAATCCAGTGCATCTCAGGAGGGCATCTGATATGGTTGCCAGTGCAGTGGTGGCATCTCCATGGTATTTTCCACGACTAGCGGCAGAGCTTACTGCCCCCACTTACTCTGGGTCCTGCATGGAGCCGCCCACACAGTGGAACCTCTCAGGCACCATCTTCGAGTCTTTGGCCATCTTCACAATGGCACCTGCATCTAGGACCCTGTAGCCAAAGAGGTGATCAAACTCCAGGCCAACCCAGTACTCCGCCACTGATGGACCTTGTCGTGAAGCTGGTTCTGTTTCGGGGTGAGCACAGTCAGATGCTGCAGGTCTCTTCAGGTCAGACCCAGGCTGTGGACCAGAGGCAGGGCATTTGAGGACAAGGACATGGGACAGGGGTGAAGGGAAGGAAAAAGAGGCACAATGACTAAGATAGCACGTAGACCTCCAGTAAGATTTTGGAACATTTATGAACCCTCAAGTCAAGGGAGGATTATCCATGCATTATTTATAATATAGTTATAGCTGTACATCAATTAAAAGTCTTGCCTTTCTTACTTAAATATATTTCAAATGCAAAAACTGACACACACTGGGATGGCTAAAATGAAAAAGGCTGACAATACCAAATGTTGACAAAGATGAGGGACAAATGAGTACTTTGCAGATGGGAGTATAAATTACCACAAACACTTTGGAAAAGAGTTTGACTCTTATCTTCTAATGTAGCCCAAGTGCTTAAGCTGTGGCCCAGAAGTAAGACCAAATTGTTTACATCTCCAGCACAGGGACTGCATACCCCTTCCCACTCCCACCCCAATTATCTGCAGGTTTCGACCAGAATTTCCTTTTCCCATGATTTCCCGTCTGCCTAAATATGAAATAGACCTATTGCTGCTCAGTTAGAGGCTTTCACTAATCACTCACTAGTTTCACTAATTTTCACTTCGTTACTCACTAAGACTCACGGCACCTAACACCCCAGACACAGCTCTCACCCAGCCGCTGGCCAGAACAGATGGAATTCCTGGCTGCCAGGAATCACCAAGTATTTTGGCCTCCATGGTCCTAAACCAACATACCCTGCAACTGATGGCTGCTCTTCCAACTCCTGAGAGAAACTGTAGCTCCCAGAGAGGAGAGGCTTGAGAGCAGGTAACGCAGAGGGAGGGGAGGCTGTCGAGAGAGACCATGGGCTTTTCTGTGGCCAAGTCTGTTGACAGTGCTCAACCAGTGTTTCTCAAGTGGGGTTCCAGGGAGCACTGGGGTTCCAGCGTCCTGAGATTCATTAAGAATTGCTGGGTGGTACATACTATACTAATAAGGGCGGTTCCCAGGTGGCTCCGTGGGAAAGAATCCGCCTGTAATGCAGGAGACATGGGTTCAATCCCTGGGTTGGGAGGATCCCCTGGAGAAGAAAATGGCAACCCGCCCGAGTGTCCTTGCCTGGTGAATCCCACGGACAGAGGACCCTGGCAGGTGGGGTAGCAAGAGAGTCAGACACGACTTAGTGAGTAAACCACGCCACGCTAAATAAATACTTCCAGAAGTCATGTTGTTGAAAGCGCTATGTCATTTTGACAGCAATCCTCATAATCAACTGACTATAAAACAAGTGTGTGTGTCAGAAAGAGACAGAGAGGATGTGATAGAAATGCTCCTGAAGAGTCAGGGTTCCGAGGGACGCAGGTGGAAACACTGTGTAAGCCAGACTTTTACCAGCTCCCTCACTCAGCCTCTACCATTTCCTCAGTATTCTATACTCAACCTCATCTGTAGACCTTTGCCTTAATCCTCAAAGGGCATCAACTCTCGCCCTCGTGTCTGCCGCCTGGTATTGCTTCCATCACAGCATCATGCCCTCTGTCCCTGGGCTTCCCCTCACCCCCAGTGACCCCCTCCAACCCCACTCACCAGACCTGCACCCACCCAACCATCCAGGACAAATGTCTTCAGCCTATGTTTCTGTGATCAGCTCTGGTTTTCCCTCCACATCCACATAGGCAACTACTTCCTAGACATTGTCATCTGGACATTGCAGAAGCATCTTGGACCAAAAAAGTCTAAAAATAAGCTCTTGTCTTCTTCAGTGGTCCTGATGGCAGTAAAGCAGGAATGAGTCACCCAGCTGGAAGCTGATGACCTGCCAAGTCTCGGAGCTGCTCACTGTCCTCCACTCCCCCTGCTCTGCCCTCTCCACACCCACAGCCTCCATCCACCCACGACGCGAGGGTCTGCCTGGTCCATCACATCCAAGGCTCTGATAGCCTCTGTCTGCCCACGACAAGAGGGTCTGCCTGGTCCATCACATCCAAGGCTCTGATAGCCTCTGTCTGCCCACGACGCGAGGGTCCACCTGGTCCATCACATCCAAGGTTCTGATAGCCTCTGTCCACCCACGACGCGAGGGTTCACCTGGTCCATCACATCCAAGGCTCTGATATCCTCCGTCTGCCCACGACAAGAGGGTCACCTGGTCCCACATCACATCCAAGACTCTGATAGCCTCCGTCCACCCACGATGTGAGGGTCCGCCTGGTCCATCACATCCAAGGCTCTGATAGCCTCTGTCTGCCCACGACAAGAGGGTCACCTGGTCCATCACATCCAAGGCTCTGATAGCCTCCGTCCACCCACGACGTGAGGGTCCGCCTGGTCCATCACATCCAAGGCTCTGACACCTGTCCTAAATGGTGGGCAGCTTGGCTGTAAAGATGCGGGCCTGAGCCTGTGCTCCCCACCGTCCCCACTCATACCTGTGTCACAGTATCCTGTGGAGGATATTACTATCCTCACTCTTGGATCCACACAGAGAACCCGGGCACATGCTAAGCTCCCAGGGCCTGCCCCTTTCCCCGCCCCCTTGTCCGTGTGCTGCCCCCTCCTGCTGAGCACATCTGTCCTCACCAGCTTTCCTTCAATTCCTCATCCACAAACCCTGCATCCTTTATCTAGAACATACCCCACACCTCTCACCCTGGCAGCACCCATAGCCACCTGGCTTCAACTCTAGCCTCTCTGCTCTGGGGAGGCCTCCTTCACCCTCCACCAGCTGCATCCCCCTGTATCATGGCAGCACTGAAGGAACGCACATTTCCCTCGAGCACACATCACAGCCGTGAACAGATACACGAGGTCCAGTGCCCAGAGCAGAAAGAAACTGACACAAGCACATGGATAACGTCAATTTTCTCCTCACTGCAACCAGAGCCAATGCCTGAAATAAAGCAGATGGTTAATAAACACAAGATGAAGCAATAATAAAAGAATGGAGCTTATGACACATGTAAATCACTATAAACTCACTCTTTTGTTTCTAATCTCCTGTCTCCCCATTCAGTCTCTTTTCTCCTCTTCACGCAGTGGAAACAGTGACCACCAGGAGTGGAGACAGTGGGTGTCTGATTCTGGAGAAGCAGAGGTCACAGTATGTGGGGACGTCGGTCAGGAGCGCAGTCCTGCGCTGGATGCGGGCTGAGGGGAGCCCGGCCCGGCCTCCGGGGCAGCGTTCCCGTCTCTGGCCCTGTGCTCCCCTGCCAGCACCAGCGGCGCGGCCCTCTCACTGTGATTCACCTGCACGCCTCCCCTCTCTCCGCTCCCCTCAGCTCCTCCTCCTGTCCTGCCTGAGCTCCAGACTTCCTTCTCCCTCCTTCACAGGCCTCTCTCTCCTTCTCCAGCTCAGAATCTCAGAGGCAAACTGACTTCCCTCACCAAGTGCTTGGTGTTTGAATCCCCATCATCTGGCTGTTGTTCTTCCACTAAGCTCAAAAATGGTCTTCCTGGAGCCAAGAGTCTCACCTCTAGGAGAACAAGAGCTGCTGTCTGTTGTGCCCTGAGTAACAGGCAGGCGCCTGCACGGTGTCCTGTGTGCATAGTGTCACAGAGCCCTGACAGACGGGCATCATCACCAAGAGGCTCACCCCAGTGTATGAAGAAAACACCGTCTCGGGCCTCGTCCAGTGAGGTCCAGGCCCTCACCCATCACCTCCTGACGTCAAGGGCCAACACCAATGTCTCTCCACGGGAGCTCTACTGAGCCCCAGGCTAACTAATGAAGGGGTCTGGGGCCTTAGACACCAACAAATATAGGAAAGCTATGAAAAATGCAGGGAAGGTGGCCGGGCGGGAACTTCACAACCTGAGGAATGATGTAAGCTCCTGGGTTTTCTTTCCTACTTCATCCCTGATGGGGTGCTAGAGAGGCCTGGACCCAGGACCAGCTCTAGACAAAGGACTGGGGAAAGGATGTCTGGTAGGAAAAAAACTCATTTTTAATACTTGTTGACCAATCAAAAATGAAAATAAAAACTGACCCCTCTTGGAATCAGTGTGGCAAAGTGGAGAACCGAATTTTCCCCCTGACCTGCAGGGATGCAGTAAAGCTTGTTGGCAGGAGGCAGTGCTAGCCAGCAACCCACTGCCCCAACCTCCTCCCTGGTATCTGAGGGGGCAGATGGCACTCCTCCCCACCCCCCAACAGCATGAGGCAGAATGAGATGACTCAGAGGGCTGGCAGTGAGCCTACAATCTAACAAGAAAATAGGCAAAAGACAGAGACTTCACTGAGAGAACACACAGAAGATAAACACATGCTAAGATGGTCATTTTTTCCAGTAGTCATGTATGGATGTGAGAGCTGGACTATAAAGAAAGCTGAGCGCAGAAGAATTGATGCTTTTGAACTGTGGTGTTGGAGAAGACTCGTGAGAATCCCTTGGACTGCAAAGAGATCAAACCAGTCCATCCTAAAGGAAATCAGTGCTGGGTATTCATTGGAAGGACTGCTGTTGAAGCTGAAACTCCAATACTTTGGCCACCTAATGCAAAGAGCTGACTCATTGGAAAAGACCCTGATGCTGGGAAAGACTGAGGGCAAGAGGAGAAGGGGACGACAGAGGATGAGATGGTTGGATGGCATCACTGCCTCAATGGACATGGGTTTGGGTGGACTCCGGGCATTGGTAATGGACAGGGAGGCCTGGCGTGCTGCCGTTCGTGGGGTTGCAAAGAGTCGGACATGACTGAGCAACTGAACTGAACTGAACTGAAGATGGTCATTTACCATTAGAAAATTGCCCATTAAAGTCATGAAGAGATACTGCCATAATTTTTTAAATGGTGACAGTAGCAAGGAGGTAGCAAAATTAGGTCTCTCACATATTGCCTCTGAGAATATTAAAATGGTACAGCCATTCTGTGGTTTTTAGTCTGTTTGCCCTCTGATGGAGAAAGATAAGAGTCTTATGAAAGATTCCTGATGGGAGACACTGACTGTGGGGGATACTGGGTCTTGTTCTGATGGGCGGGGCCATGTTCAGTAAATCTTTAATCTGATTTTCTGTTGATGGGTGGAGCTGTGTTCCCTCCCTGCTATTTACCTGGGGCCAAACTATGGTGGAGTTAATGAATGGATGGATGGCATCACCAACTTAATGGACATGAATCTGAATAAACTCCGGGAGTTGGTGATGGACAGGGAGGCCTGGCGTGCTGCACTCCATGGGGTCACAAAGAGCCCGACAGGACTGAGCGACTGAACAGAACTGAACTGAATGAAGATAACAGTGACCTCCCTCAAAAGATTCCATGCATGTACTGCTACAGTCTGTGCCCCCAACTCATGCCTTCGCCGGAGACTCCAGACATCCACAGGCAAGTCTCCTGTGGGCTTCTGTTTCTTTCTCCTGGGTCCTGGTGCTGACATCACCAAGTGAACTGAACTGAACAGTCATTATGCAAAATAGTTTGGCACCATCTTAAAAATACATTCTAAATATACATTTAACATATGCTGGGCATTTCTCTCAAAATGAGGAAACTGATTAGTTTAGTTCACTTCAATCGCTTAGTTATGCCTGACTCTTTATGACCCCATGGACTGTAGCACACCAGGCTTCCCTGTCCGTCACCAGCACCAGAGTCTGCTCAGACTCATGTCCATCGAGTCAGTGATGCCATCCAACCATCTCATCCTCTGTTATCCCCTTCTCCTCTTGTCTTCAATCTTTCCCAGCATCAGGGTCTTTTCCAATGAGTCAGTTTTTCGCACCAGGTGGCCAAAGTAGTGGAGCTTCAGTTTAAGCATCAGTCTTTCCAATGAATATTCAGGACTGATTTCCTTTAGGATTGACTGGTTGGATCTCCTTGCAATCCAAGGGACTCTCAAGAGTCTTCTCTAACACCACATTTCAAAAACATCAACTCTCCAGTGCTCAGCTTTCTTCATGGTCCAACTCTCACATCCATACATGACTACCAGAAAAACCATAGCTCTGACTAGATGGAACTTTGTCAGCAAAGTAATGTCTCTGCTTTCTAATATGCTGTCTAGGTTTGTCATAGATTTTCTTCCAAGGAGCAAGCACCTTTTATTTTTATTTATTTTTTTTTCATTTATTTTTATTAGTTGGAGGCTAATTACTTTACATCATTGCAGTGGTTTTTGTCATACATTGAAATGAATTAGCCATGGATTTACATGTATTCCCCATCCCGGTCCCCCCTCCCACCTCCCTCTCCACCCGATCCCTCTGGGTCTTCCCAGTGCACCAGGCCCAAGCACTTGTCTCATGCTCCCAGCCTGGGCTGCTGATCTGTTTCACCCTAGATAATATACGTGTTTCGATGCTGTTCTCTTGAAACATCCCACCCTCGCCTTCTCCCAGAGTCCACAAGTCTGTTCTATACATCAGAGTCTCTTTTTCTGTTTTGCATATAGGGTTATCATTACCATCTTTCTAAATTCCATATATATGTGTTAGTATACTGTAATGGTCTTTATCTTTCTGGCTTACTTCACTCTGTATAATGGGCTCCAGTTTCATCCATCTCATTAGAACTGATTCAAATGAATTCTTTTTAATGGCTGAGTAATATTCCATGGTGTATATGTACCACAGCTTCCTCATCCATTCGTCTGCTGATGGGCATCTAGGTTGCTTCCATGTCCTGGCTATTATAAACAGTGCTGCGATGAACATTGGGGTGCACGTGTCTCTTTCAGATCTGGTTTCCTCGGTGTGTATGCCCAGAAGTGGGATTGCTGGGTCATATGGCAGTTCTATTTCCAGCTTTTTAAGAAATCTCCACACTGTTTTCCATAGTGGCTGTACTAATTTGCATTCCCACCAACAGTGTAAGAGGGTTCCCTTTTCTCCACACCCTCTCCAGCATTTATTGCTTGTAGACTTTTGGATAGCAGCCATCCTGACTGGTGTGTAATGGTACCTCATTGTGGTTTTGATTTGCATTTCTCTGATAATGAGTGATGTTGAGCATCTTTTCATGTGTTTGTTAGCCATCTGTATGTCTTCCTTGGAGAAATGTCTGTTCAGTTCTTTGGCCCATTTTTTGATTGGGTCATTTATTTTTCTGGAGTTGAGCTGGAGGAGTTGCAAGCACCTTTTAATATCATGGCTGCAGGCACCATATGCAGTGATTCTGGAGCCAAAGAAAATAAAGTCTGTCACTGTTTCCATTGTTTCCCCATCTATTTGCCATGAAGTGATGGGACCGGATGCCTTGATTTTCATTTTTTGAATGTTGAGTTTTAAGCCAGCTTTTTCACTCTCCTTTTTCACTTCCAGCAAGAGGCTCTTCAGTTCTTCACTTTCTGCCATAAGAGTGGTGTCATCTGCATATCTGAGGTTATCGATATTTCTTCAGGCAACCTTGATTCCAGCTGTGCTTCATACAGCTTGGCATTTTGCATGATGTACTCTGCATATAAGTTAAATAATCAGGGTGACAATATACAGCCTTGATGTACTCCTTTCCCAATTTGGAAAGGAGTCCATTGTCCCATGTCCAGTTCTAACTGTTGCTTCTTGACCTGTATACAGATTTCTTAGGAGGCAGGTAAGGTGGTCTTGTATTTCCATCTCTTTAAGAATTTTCCACAGTTCGTTATGATCCATACAGTCAAAGGCTTTGGCATAGTCATTAAAGTAGATGTTTTTCTGGAACTCTCTTGTTTTTTCTATGATTCAACGGATGTTGACAATTTGATCTCTTGTTCCTCTGCCTTTTCTAAATACAGCTTGAACATCTGGAAGTTCATGGTTCATTTATTGCTGAAGCCTGGCTTGGAGAATTTTGAGCATTATTTTGCTAGCATGTGAGAAGAGTGCAATCGTCCAGTAGTTTGTATATTCTTTGGCATTGCTTTTCTTTGGAATTGGAATGAAAACTGACCTTTTCCAGCCCTGTGGCCACTGCTGAGTTTTCCAAATTTGCTGGCATATTGAGTGCAACACTTTCACAGCATCATCTTTCAGGATTTGAAATAGCTCAACTGGAATTCCATCACCTCCACTAGATTTGTTCGTAGTGATGCTTTCTAAGGCCCACTTGACTTCACATTCTAGGATGTCTGGCTCTAGGTGAGTGATCACACCATTGTGATTATCTGGGTCATGAAGATCTTTTTTATACAGTTCTTCTGTGTATTCTTGCCACCTCTTCTTAATATCTTCTGCTTCTGTTAGGTCCATACCATTTCTGTCCTTATCGAACCCACCTTTGTGTGAAATGTTCCCTTGACATCTCTAATTACCTTGAAGAGATCTCTAGTCTTTCCCATTCTGTTGTTTTCATCTATTTCTTTGCATTGTTCACTGAGGAAGGCTTTCTTATCTCTTCTTGCTATTCTTTGAAACTCTGCATTCAGATGGGTATGTCTTTGCTTTCCTCCTTTGCCTTTAGTTTCACTTCTTTTTCAACAATTTGTAAGGCCTCCTTAGATAGCCATTTTGCCTTTTTGCATTTCTTTTTCTTGGGGATGGTCTTGATCACTGCCTCCTGTACAATGTCATGAACCTCCATCCATAGTTCTTCGGGCACTCTGTCTATAAGATCTACTTGCTTGAATCTGT